CAGACTATCAGATGTACTTGTAACTAAGACTGGCTACAACATCAGACTATCAGATGTACTTGTAACTAAGACTGGCTACAACATCAGACTATCAGATGTACTTGTAACTAAGACTGGCTACAACATCAGACTGTCAGATATACTTGTAACTAAGACTGGCTACAACATCAGACTGTCAGATATACTTGTAACTAAGACTGGCTACAACATCAGACTGTCAGATATACTTGTAAACAAGCCTAAGCTTATTATATAAGTGGTTTAGAAAACAGATAGCAAAAGTTGAAGACCGAAACATTTAAATGCAACATTTGAGAAACGTTTCGCCGGCCAGTGGCTTCTTCAGTCCATTACAGAGAATAACGGTGTAAGATGAGGAGCAGTTTGAGGTAACGAGTCCCTCAGCCTGGAGTCGACGTGTTCAGTCCACCAGTCTTGAGAAAAGCACAGCATATGCTCGGAGAAGTGACTTATATACCGCAGGTGTGTTGGAGCAGCCACATGTTATCATAGTTGAGTAATAATGGTAGAATTACCGACATTTCATTTATCTAACATTATCATAGTTATAGATGTATCCAGGTTCACGTTATCATAGTTAAAGATGTATCCAGGTTCACGTTATCATAGTTATAGATGTATCCAGGTTCACGTTATCATAGTTATAGATGTATCCAGGTTCACGTTATCATAGTTATAGATGTATCCAGGTTTACGTTATCATAGTTATAGATGTATCCAGGTTCACATTATCATAGTTATAGATGTATCCAGGTTCACGTTATCATAGTTATAGATGTATCCAGGTTCACGTTATCATAGTTATAGATGTATCCAGGTTCACGTTATCATAGTTATAGATGTATCCAGGTTCACGTTATCATAGTTATAGATGTATCCAGGTTCACATTATCATAGTTATAGATGTATCCAGGTTCACGTTATCATAGTTATAGATGTATCCAGGTTCACGTTATCATAGTTATAGATGTATCCAGGTTCACATTATCATAGTTATAGATGCACCCAGGTTCACGTTATCATAGTTATAGATGTATCCAGGTTCACGTTATCATAGTTATAGATGTATCCAGGTTCACATTATCATAGTTATAGATGTATCCAGGTTCACGTTATCATAGTTATAGATGTATCCAGGTTCACGTTATCATAGTTATAGATGTATCCAGGTTCACGTTATCATAGTTATAGATGTATCCAGGTTCACGTTATCATAGTTATAGATGTATCCAGGTTCACGTTATCATAGTTATAGATGTATCCAGGTTCACATTATCATAGTTATGGATGTATCCAGGTTCACGTTATCATAGTTATAGATGTATCCAGGTTCACGTTATCATAGTTATAGATGTATCCAGGTTCACGTTATCATAGTTATAGATGTATCCAGGTTCACGTTATCATAGTTATAGATGACCAGGTTCACATTATCATAGTTATAGATGTATCCAGGTTCACGTTATCATAGTTATAGATGTATCCAGGTTCACGTTATCATAGTTATAGATGTATCCAGGTTCACGTTATCATAGTTATAGATGCACCCAGGTTCACGTTATCATAGTTATAGATGTATCCAGGTTCACATTATCATAGTTATAGATGTATCCAGGTTCACATTATCATAGTTATAGATGTATCCAGGTTCACTTATCATAGTTATAGATGTATCCAGGTTCACATTATCATAGTTATAGATGTATCCAGGTTCACATTATCATAGTTATAGATGTATCCAGGTTCACATTATCATAGTTATAGATGTATCCAGGTTCAGTTATCATAGTTATAGATGTAATCCAGGTTCACGTTATCATAGTTATAGATGTATCCAGGTTCACATTATCATAGTTATAGATGTATCCAGGTTCACGTTATCATAGTTATAGATGTATCCAGGTTCACGTTATCATAGTTATTTGATGTATCCAGGTTCACGTTATCATAGTTATAGATGTATCCAGGTTCACATTATCATAGTCATAGATGACCAGGTCTTCATAATGTTATCCTTCCTTATCTATAAGATGTAAGGTGAGTATAGAAAATGTTCCCGGTGTGCAAGTTATGAATATCCTCTTCACTATCAACCTGATAACCTATCCTTCCATATCAGTAGAACCTAGCAGTTTTCTAGTAAAATCCATACAACGTTATCATAGGTTATAATGCTGGTTTACGATTATCGACGTTGTAATTTACCAGTTCACGTCTGTTGTTAAAATCCACACATTATCAAGTTGATTTTGTTCATTTTAATTTTCCTTTGTCATGTGAGTAGTGTCAGGCAATTAATTTTATTGCACACCGGTTGTCTCATAGTAGATGTCCAGGTTCCGAAAGAAAGTTATTCCTTTCTAGTTAAATTTCAGGTTTTACCAATAGATCCCCGATTCCTTCAAAGCTAGTGACAGGTCACCCAATCAAATTAAGCTGACCAGCCGTATCTGTTTAGGATGTACTCCGGTTTTCGTAGAAGGCCAGTCAGCCATAGTTTAGGGTGTATCCCGGATTTCCTGTATCATGGACCGAGATCCAGGCCGTTATCACAGTTATAGCACTCCAGGTATTATCAGAGAAGGGTTAACCAGTTCACTTATCGGTATTTAGTGTACCATTCACATTATCATAGGTTAGGAGATGAATCTTCCAGGTTCCCCCGAGTATCATAGTTTAGTTATCTCTGCTTCACGTTTCATATTATAGATTACCGGTTCAACACCATAGTTGCTAATTATCACGGCACATAAGCATTTCAGTGTGACCATTCACATCATTTGGTAATTTGAATTCATTACGATGACAAACAATTTCCAGCTTATCAAGTTTAGAGTCCCAGGTTCATTTATAGTCTAGATTTAAATCAGCCATCGTATCTTCTTAGCTAAAAAGGGTCGGTCTGAAGTCTCCTGAACCTACCTTCCTCTTCCTCTGATCAACCCTGATAACCTTCCTTCCCAGACGCTACAACCCTACAGTATCTGGCCAAAAGGGCCAATACTAACCTATAAAGGTGATAATGCTGTCTTACATTTCTGCGACGTTGTAATTTACCTGTAATAACAAGTCTGTTGTTTGAAAACAAAAAACAATTTCAAGGCTTTTTGTTGATTTAATAACCTTGTCATGTGAGGTAGTGTGGGAAGATTAATTTTTTTTACACATCGGCTGTCTCCCACCGAGGCAGGTGACCCGAAAAAGACAAGTTTTCTTTCTCTTCAAATTTAGTGATTTACCAATAGATCCCCGGCTTGTCTTCAGGAAGCTGGACAGGCACCAAGTCAGTAACTGACCAGCCGGGCTGTGGCTCGTACGTCGGTTTGCGTGAGGCCAGCAGCCACAGCTTGGATGATCAGACCTGATCATGGACCGGGCCTCGGAGGCCTTGACCCCCGAAGCACCCTCCAGGTATACCAGAGAAGGGGTTACCAGTCCCTTACTCCCGGTATCTTAGTCGCCTCTTACGACACGCATGGCTTACGGAGGAAGAATTCTTCTCCGCTTCCCCACGGAGAATCATCATTTTAGTTATTCTCTGCTCTCTGATTTTATAATATTGATACCTGGTGTCAACACCGAGCATGTTGCTAACTTATCACGCGAGTCAAACGCATTCAGTGATGACATCAATCATTGGTAATTTGAATGTCATTACGATGACAAACAATTCAGCTTATAATTCAGAAGCCCAGTTGTTAAATCTAGCATTTAAATCAGCAGTCGTCAGTCTTCTAGTATAAAAGGGTCAGTCTGAAAGCTGCGCCACATATTAATTTTTTCTGTGATTTTTATGAATAACAAAAATATTTTGTAACTGTTGACACTTTGCATTGTGAAATTTATATAAAAGTGAATTTATAATTTCATGTGAGTGCCGCATCCATTTCCTAGAAGGGCCACATGCGGCCCTCGGGCCACAGGTTGGGAACCACTGGTTTAAATTAACATGGTTGCTATAGTTATGTGAGGAAGTTGGAGCGGGAGATGTAACAGTGTCAGTGCTGTGTCAGTGCTAGGTACAGCATGCTGTACCTAGCAACACAGCATGCTGTACCTAGCAACACCACAGCACGCTGGACCTAGCAACACAGCATGCTGGACCTAGCAACACAGCATGTTGGACCTAGCAACACCACAGCATGCTGGACCTAGCAACACAGCATGTTGCACCTAGCAACACAGCATGCTGTACCTAGCAACACAGCATGCTGGACCTAGCAACACAGCATGCTGGACCTAGCAACACCCACAGCATGCTGGACCTAGCAACACCACAGCATGCTGGACCTAGCAACACCACAGCATGCTGGACCTAGCAACACCACAGCATGCTGGACCTAGCAACACAGCATGCTGCACCTAGCAACAGAGCATGCTGGACCTAGCAACACAGCATGCTGAACCTAGCAACACAGCATGCTGGACCTAGCAACACCACAGCATGCTGGACCTAGCAACACCACAGCATGCTGGACCTAGCAACACAGCATGCTGGACCTAGCAACACAGCATGCTGCACCTAGCAACACAGCATGCTGTACCTAGCAACACAGCATGCTGGACCTAGCAACACAGCATGCTGGACCTAGCAACACAGCATGCTGGACCTAGCAACACACAGCATGCTGGACCTAGCAACACAGCATGCTGTACCTAGCAACACAGCATGCTGGACCTAGCAACACAGCATGCTGGACCTAGCAACACAGCATGCTGGACCTAGCAACACCACAGCATGCTGGACCTAGCAACACAGCATGCTGTACCTAGCAACACAGCATGCTGGACCTAGCAACACAGCATGCTGGACCTAGCAACACACCAACAACACAACACGGGAAACAACAACATCCAGCCCATGACACTACACCCACAGCACCCTATCCCAAAGGATCTCTTCAAGTCCCGCCCACAGGACCCCGCCCACAGGACCACGCCCACAGGAGGAGAGGGAGGCACACCAGAACAGGCGTTACCGCTGGTGTGGAGGCGTCAGCTGTGGGCGAAGCATCACTGGTCGAGCTGCTGCTGGTGTGGGCGGGCGTGGGTGGCCGGAGACGCAAGCGAGGACTCCACATCAATTCCTTCACCTTGGAGTAGCCTCCCCGCCCACACCCACTACTCCTACCCCGCCCACGTCGAACCTGCAAACATCTGTACAGTTATATGCGCCCATGTCATCATGAAGATGGCGCGCGCGCGCGCACACACACACACACATTACCCTAAGAAAAAAGAAGAGAAGTAAACTGGAGAGACGCTCCCTTTACAGGAGAAGACGAAGAATCACTGAGCTCCTCAAGAATGTTAGATTATCTGAAACAAGGAAGGAAGCGCTAACCAGGGAAGCGGAAAGTACTGAGCTAAGGACTCATACAGGATCCAGGAAAGACAAGAGGAGCTAAAAGCGATTAGTGAAACTGAAAGAAATTCAAAATATTTCTTTTCATATGCCAAAAACCACTTCTAGTATAGGGCCCCTGCTCAGACAAGATGGATCCTACACAGATGACAACAAAGAAATGAGTGAGATACTGAAATCTCAATATGACTGTGTTCAGCGACCCACTAATTAGTCTGATAGACAATTAAAACTTTTTTCATGCCTGAGCCTCAAAACCCTGCCAATGTATGCCAAATTTCTGATATAACCCTAACTCCACTAGACTTTGAGAAAGCCACTGACAACATGCCCATGCACTCAGCCCCAGGCCCAGACTCGTGGAACTCCGTGTTCATTAAGAACTGCAAGAAACCTCACGGGCCCAAAGTATGCTATGGAGGAGCTTAGACACAGGCGAGATTCCACAGTCACTAAAAACAACGGATATAGCCCCACTCCATAAAGGTGGTAGCAAAGTAGTAGCCGAGAACTTATAGACCAATAGCTTTAACGTCCCATATCATAAAAAGTCTTTGAAAAAATTCCAAGAAGCAGGATAGCAAACCACTTGGACTCCCAAAAATTGCACAATCCAGGGCAACATGGGTTCAGAGCAGGTCGCTCCTGCCTCTTGCAACTACTGGATCACTATATGGTCTTGGATGCACTGAAAAACAGAATGCAGATGTAGTATACACATATGTTGCAAAAGCTTTTTACAAGTGCGACCATGGTGTAATAGCACACAAAATGCGTGCTAAAGGGATAACTGGCAAAGTAGGCATAATGGATATCAACTTTCTAACCAATAGAACACAAAGAGTAGTGGGAAACAGAGTTAAATCGGAAGCTGCCATAGTGAAGAGCTCTGTTCCATAAGGCACAGTACTCGCCCCCATCCTGTTCCTCATTCTCATATCAGACACAACAGAGATGTGAACCATAGCACCAAAACAGCCTCTGCAGACGATACTAGGAGCTGCATGAGTGTCATCCACTGAGGACACGACAAATCTCCAAGAAGATATAAACCAAGTTTTCCAATGGGCAACGGAGAGCAATATGATGTTCAATAAAGACATATTCCAACTACTCCATTATGGAAAACTGGAGGAAATAATAGATAGCAATGAGTATACTACAAACTCGAATCACACAAAAGAGCGGAAAAGTAATGTGAAGGACCTGGGAGTGGTAATGTCTGAGGATCTCACATTTAAGGATCATAACAGTGCCACTATCTGCGAGGAAAATGATAAGACGGATAATGAGAACATTCGAGACAAGAGATGCTAAACCAATGATGATCCTTTGTAAATCACTTCTTCTCTCTAGGCTGGAATACTGATGTACATTAACATCTCCATTCAAGGCAGGTGAAATTGCAGATCTAGAGAATGTGCAGAGAACCTTTACTGCACGTATAAGTTCCATCAAATACCTTAACTATTGGGAACACTTGGAAGCACTTGACTTGTACTCACTGGAGCGCAGGCGAGAGAGAGAGATAATTTACACCTGGAAGATTCTGGAGGGACTGGTTCCTAATCTGCACACGGAAGTCACTTCCTACGTAAGCAAAAGATTTGGCAGGCGATGCAACATACCCCCAGTGAAAAGTAGGGGCGCCAATGGTACACTAAAATGAAATACAACAAGTGTCAGGGGCCCAACACTGTTCAACAGCCTCCCACCAGACATGAGGGGCATTACCAAGAGACTCCTGGTTGTCTTCAAGAGGGAGCTGGATAGATACTTAAAGTCGGCGCCGGATCAGCCTAGCTATGGTTCGTACGTTGGACCACGTGCGACCAGCAGTAACAGCCTAGTTGATCAGGCCCTGATCCACCGGGAGGCCTGGTCGTGGACCGGACCGCGGGGGCATTGATCCCCGGAATGCGCTCCAGGAAGGTACACACACACACACACACACACACACACACACACACACACACACACACACACACACACACACACCCACACACACACCCCACACACACACACACCCCACACACCACCCACACACACACACCCACAACCCCACACACACACACACACCACACACACACACCCACAAACACCCCACACACACACCCCACACAACACACCCCACACACACAACACACACCACACCACACACACACACACACACACACACACACACACACACACCACACACAACACACAACACACACACACCCCACTCAACACACACACACACACACACACACACCTCAACAACACACAACACAACACACACACACACACACAAACACACACACACACACACACACAACACACAAACACACACACACACACACAACACTCCACACACACTGACGTATATACAACAGGCCAGGCAACACATGTACCTAGCAAAGTAACAACTACACACACATACACACACACACACGTGACGTATACACAGCCTAGTGTACGGTGAGATCGAGATGTGGACCAGACAGAAATGAGGTGACTAGACTGAGAGAGCAGCAGTGATGCAACACCAGCTGTGATGGTAAGTACTAGCTACAAGTCATCGTGGAGTAGCTGGAGAGTGATGGTGGGTAGCCGCGAACGATGAGGTGGTGGTAGCTAAGAAGATGAGTGGTGATAGCTGCGAGTGATGAGACAGAGTGTGGTGGTGTTAGCTACGAGAGGGTGATGATGGTGGTAGCTGCGAGTGATGGTGGTGGTAGCTGCGATGATGGAGTGTGGTTGGTAGCTGAGTGATGGTGGTGGTAGCTGCGAGTGATGAGGGTGGTAGCTGCGAGTGATGGGTGGTGGTAGCTGCGAGTGATGGAGTGTAGCTGCGTGATGGGAGTGCGAGTGTCGGAGTGTGGTGGTGGTAGCTGCGAGTGATGGTGGTGGTAGCTGCGAGTGATGGCGGTGGTAGCTGCGAGTGATGGTGGTGGTAGCTGCGAGTGATGGTGGTGGTAGCTGCGAGTGATGGTGGTGGTAGCTGCGAGTGATGGCGGTGGTAGCTGCGAGTGATGGTGGTGGTAGCTGCGAGTGATGGTGGTGGTAGCTGCGAGTGATGGGGTGGTAGCTGCGAGTGGTGGTGGTGGTAGCTGCGAGTGATGGTGGTGGTAGCTGGAGTGATGGTGGTGGTAGCTGGGAGAGGCTGGCGGTGGTAGCTGGAGTGATGGTGGTGGTAGCTGGGAGTGATGGTGGTGGTAGCTGGGAGTGATGGTGGTGGTAGCTGGGAGTAATAATGGTGTGGTAGTGGTAGCTGGGAGTGATGGTGGTTGTAGCTGGGAGTAATAGTGGTGTGGTGGAGGTAGCTGAGTGTGGTGGAGGTAGCTGGGAGTGTGGTGGAGGTAGCTGGGAGTGATGGAGGGATAGCTGGGAGTGATGGAGGTGGTAGCTGGGAGTGTTGGTGGCAAGTGGGAGTGGTGGTGGTGGTAAGTGGGAGTGGTTGTGGTGGTAAGTGGGAGTGGTGGTGGTGGTAAGTGGGAGTGGTTGTGGTAAGTGGGAGTGGTGGTAAGTGGGAGTGGTGGTGGTGGTAAGTGGGAGTGGTGGTGGTGGTAAGTGGGAGTGGTTGTGGTGGTAAGTGGGAGTGGGTGGTGGTGGTGGTAGTGGGGGTGGTGGTGGTAAGTGGGAGCGGTGGTGGTGGTAAGTGGGAGTGGTTGTGGTGGTAAGTGGGAGTGGTTGTGGTGGTAAGTGGGAGTGGTGGTGGTGGTGGTAAGTGGGAGTGGTGGTGGTGGTGGTAAGTGGGAGTGGTTGTGGTGGTAAGTGGGAGTCGTTGTGGTGGTAAGTGGGAGTGGTTGTGGTGGTAAGTGGGAGTGGTGGTGGTGGTAAGTGGGAGTGGTGGTGGTGGTAAGTGGGAGTGGTGGTGGTGGTAAGTGGGAGTGGTTAAAGGAAGAACAATTTGGGCCAGTAGCACAGTAACCTGGCGTGCTGCTGACCACCCGCATCACCACCAAGCATGTGCTCACACGCACACGCACACGCACACGCACACGCAGTTCTACAATACACTTTAACAACCACAACTTCATGCACAAAACATTAAACTCTCATACTTACATACATACCTACGTACATACATACAAAGCCAATAAAAATATATTGGTTTAAGGGACCACTAGCCATTAATGGGCCCACTCCCCCCTATAGGGTGTTTCAAAATGATGGACCCAATTTCATATACATATTTCATATATCTTGGGTACATATATACCTCTCAGGGAAGGTTTCTTGATGTTGGTGAGGGGCTCTTGATTTAGGGAATTGGATCTGTGCTCCAGTTCCCCGAATTAAGCCTGAATGTTTTCCACATCCCCCCCCCCCCGGGGCTGTATATAATAATAATAATAATAATAATAATAATAACTGGGTACATATATTTGAAACTAGGCGTTACTTTAAAAAGTTTTATTGGTCAGTAATCAACAGTTGCATGAACATTTAGTTATCAACATGTTCTCTGAGAACATTTAGTTATCAACATGTTCTCTGAGAACATTTAGTTATCAACATGTTCTCTGAGAACATTTAGTTATCAACATGTTCTCTGAGAACATTTAGTTATCAACATGTTCTCTGAGAAACATTATTTTATCAACATTTTTTCTCTGAAACAACACAAGACTGCCACACACAAAGTTACATTTAATAAAAACTTGTTTTTCAGCCGAACTCCAGTTGGTATCTTCGTGCAAGTGTGTGTACACTTCTCCACGTACACACTGAAGCAGGTGCACACGGCGACCACCGCAGTGTGTGTACATTTCTCCACGTACACACTGAAGATGTACA